AACTAAAACAATGTGAAAGAACAGAGTTGGAAATGCAGTAATGAAATCTCGTCTACAAACAATGCATTGAATTTTAGATATATAGTTAGACTCATTTAATGTGAGTGACGTGTCACTACACTACACTACGAGATTAATGCACTTCCTTTTAACTAAAAAGTTCTCTATCAATAACTATGTACAGCGTGCCCCCTGCTGGATGAAGATGAGTACTATTTTGTGAGGCTATACATAAAGACAATATAGTGCTTTATGATCATATCTAAAGTAAAAATTTTCAATACTTGCCTTCTGTGTATATTTCAGAAATTAGTTGGTTCTATCCCACATAAACCTTCTAAGACTTTTTAAATTACTAATAAAGAATCTCATCTACAAAAGGTTCAAAACATTGTTAAAGATCAATCAGCTCAGTACTATTGAGTGTTATCAGCTGAGTAACTCTTGTTACTTCTCAAAAAAGAACTCATAATTAAATATAACATAAATATGGATTAATCTCTTGGGAGTTTCCCATATCCCAATAACATGCATAATGAAGCCTTGCATTTCAGTATTTAAGTTTGCAAATATCCAAATAACCATAAGTATTGTCTCATTTCATTTCATTATTTAACTTAACCAGTATTTATTCCCATGTAGGATACTGGATTTTGATGAAACACAGCCAAATAAGGTGTGGTCCCAATTCTCAGGAACTTTATCATTGTATGGAAGATGGTGAAAAGCAAAGGAACAATTGTAGAGTGGCTCATGTCATGAACACTGGGATTCCCCAGTTCCCCCTTCAATGAGGGACTTTTTGCCCCAGTTATAAAGCCACCTCACCCAACAGCCCACCCCTTTCAAGGGGCCCACATCCAATAATTGTTTCATGCCAGGGAATAAAGGCCTCACCAACTCTGCCCAACTTCCTACAACTCAGAAGGGCCATTCTAGCTCCTGAGATCCCCATGGGGTCCACCAAGGCTCTTGTTAGGCCCCTATCCAAGCTCAGGCCTTCTCTCTACCCCAGTGGTTTCCAACTGGGGACAATTTACTGCCTCCCCAATCCCACACCAGGGATATTTGGCAATGTCTGGAGACAATTTTGGTCCTCACAACTAGAGGGGAGGGAGGTATGTGAATGCTACTGGCATCTAGAGGGTGAAGGCCACGGATGTGGCTAAACATCCCACAATACACAGGACAGCCCCCACAACGAAATATTACCCAGTCTAAAAATGTCAATATGTAACAGTTCAGAAACCCTGTTCTGCCCAATCCCGTATTTTCCTTTCCCTTTCATAGGTATTGATCCCAAAGTCATTCTTCACTAAACATCCTGTACCCTAAACTCCATCATAGAGTCACGCTTTCTGGGAAACAGTTACACAAGAGTATCTACAAGAAACCATTTGGTTTTATACATGTGTATGAGAGAGACAAAGTAGCATATACATGTATAAATGTCTTAATATTTATAGAACAAAACTGGGAGGACACACACTAAATAGAAAGAGTGGTTATTTTAAAGTAATGGTGTTGCAAATAATACTTGTTGTTTTCCTTTGAGCTTAAATGCCTGGGTTTTCCAAATTTGTGTTTTTCTTGTGTTCATTTTCCTTTTGTGTTTGGTTTTTTGTATTAAACACACGTTACTGTTGCAGTCTGGGAGAGAAAATGTAATTGCAAAGAAAGAGGTGATGGCTAACAGTGTTAAATACTACAGAGAGGCCAAGTTATAGTCAATAGTGGATGGCAAAAGGTGGCAGTGACATCAGTGTACTGGAATGGACATGCTGGAAGAGGAACAGCAGTGGGGTGAGTGGAAAGTAGGCAAGGAAATAAAGATATTCCAGTTTTTACAGAAGCATGACCAAAAAAAGAGAAACAGTAAGCAGAGGGGGATGAAAAATTAGCCCAAATAATTGTAAAGATCAGAGAACCCAAGCAAGTTTGATGCTGATGGGGGAGGGGCGGGAAAGAAAGAGGCGATGACATGAGGGGTGCCTAATTGGGGAACCAGGTGCCTGTGAGGATGTGGCAGTGGGTCAAGAACATGATTGGATTGGTCTAGGCAGAAGCAAAAATACCTCTTCCTCCGAACCAAGAGGTATGGTGAGTGCAGAGTTCAGAAAGCAATACATTTCAAAGTAATGACATCTGTGCCTGGTCATCTTAATTTTGTCAGCGGGAGGTGAGGTCATCCACTGAAAGGGAGGGTCTGGCTGGTGGAGCAGGGGCTTGAGAAGGTAGCAAAATCAAAGGGAAACCATAGGAGAGGACCTGAGAGGGGCTCCTGGGAAATTGCTCTTTCCTTTACTAGCTTCCAGGTAAAAGGTCAGGACTGCTTAGCACCACTTACTTGACCCAGGCAAGGGGACTGGCTCCCAAGCAGTTTCTCCACAACATTCAGGAGGCAGATGGGTCCCAGGGCAGGAGGAAGAATCCAAAAAGCCCCATGAGGTTAGCTATGGTTTCCCGCACCTGGCACGGTTATCCACACCTGAAATCTGTACATCCCTGCGGGAAACTTTGGGGCCTGGGTACCAAATCAGGGATTGTTCTGTGCTAATTCCTGTGCTAGGTAATGGCCTCTGTAGATTTCCTTACTGTAGGGAATTTAACCACTTTGGTACAGCGCTCACCGGCGGCGGAACCTTGCCCACAGCCGGCACTCACAGTCCGCACGATAGTTTGTGCCGTGCATTGACAATGAATCCGTTTTGCTCTTGTGTGATGAGGAAAGCTTTAAAGCACTGAAAGCTTGTTTTACTTTACAGGCAGCTTCACTTGTAATGTAAATCAGAATAGGTAACATATACATATATGTTTTCATTACGTTATTTTTAAATGTTCACAATTTTATTTTGATACATGAAAAATTAGAAAAGTCATATCACGGCTGTCGGCTAAAGTTGACGCTTGGCTGTGCACGTTCACATCATGGCTGTCGGCTAACGTCACTGTGCACATTCATCTGTGGCTGTCAACTATAGTCAACGCTGGTCCCGAAGTGGTTAAAGAAAGTCCACATCCTCTCACCGTGATCTTTGGGCATCCCTCCCTCAATCTCATCTCCTACTATTGGGATAAACAGGAGCAGAATTCTCCAAAGTGTAACCAAGACAACAGGTCCCACATCTGGAGCCTCATTTTCTTCCCATACTGTCTCCCCACCCTTCCCAGACACATAGGATGCACTGAAAAGAGACTACTATGGTGCACGGCCTCAATAAGACCGTCCTACACAACTTGTTTCAAGGAGTGGTTCTCAACCAGGAGCGATTTCCCCCTCCTCAGGCCCAGGGACATTTGGCAATGTCTGGAAACATTTTTGGTTGTCATAAATGGTGGGGGAGGGAAGCAACCCATAGGCAGAGGCCAGGGGTGCTTTTGAATAATCCTACAATGCATTATCCACAATCAATCCACAATGAATTATCCAGCCCCAAATGTCAGTAGTGCTGAAAGTAAGAGATAATGCTTTAAAGAGTTCCTCATCTGACAAGATCTTTGAATGTTTTGCTATAATCCATTTAAGGGTTATTTAAAATTTGAAGTTGATGCCTGGGATAAATGAAAGAAAATACCAGACAAGGGTGAGGAATGATAGCATTTATAAATCTCCACCAGATGGTGCTAAAACACAAATGAAACTCCAACCTCCTCTAACCTCCATTTCAGAATTTTTTCTCTCCCTGGTCAGCCCTCTGGAGTAGCAGTGACCATTCTTTTCAAACAGAATTGTCATTTTTTTTTGGTGCTTAGTGTTCCCCACCACCAGGATTTTCATGCAAATGAGTTAAAATAAATAATGACTAAAACTCAGCTTGGAAGATGAAAAGAACAGGACCACCTCCTCAATCAGCTACAGAATTTCCATTCCCTGTAGCAATGAGTGTAGGGGAGAATTGGCTAGCTTCTCGGCTTCTCCTTTAGTCAACTTTTAGCTGGGCACCTGGCTACCTGAAAAAATAGACAATTCCAAGACTATTTTACCCTTAGGATGACCGAATAGTGAAGTTCAGGCCATGAGTGGGATGTGAGCAGAAGTGTTGTGGGCCATTTCTGGGTAGTACCCTTAAAGCAGTGGTTCTCAACTTGGGGTGGCTTTGCCCCCCAGATGTCTGGGTACATTTGTGGTTGTCACAACTAGAGGATGCTACTGGCATCTTCTGGGTTTAGGCCAGGGCTGCTGCTAAACCTCCTACAATGCACAGAACAGCCCCAGAACACAGAATTATCCAACCCCAATTGTCAATAGTGTCAAGGTAGCAAAACCCTACCTTGGAGGGAAGGGGTATGCTCCTGGTTTCCCCTTTTCCCCTTCCCCACTGGCTGGAAGAAAGGTGCAGTGGTATGTCATCTGGGACCCTGTGGGGCAAGGCAAGAAACCAGGGAGGATGGAGCTACAAGACAGGTGGAATTTAAGTCCCTAGTCCCATGGAGCTGCCATACTATTTTGGTTTCCTTAACACCCAGACTGCTGCGAGACAGAAATACACTTCTCAAGGTTTGAGCCATTCCTCTTCTGTGTGACGGCTGCCGAGGCACTAGCCTATCAAATACCATAGTATACTAACATATACACACATATATGCCTTCTCTTCTCTTCCCTTCCTTTCTTGATGCTGGTTTCTTCCCTGAGGCAGAGATTCCACCAGGTCCCAATCCAGACCTGACTTTAACCAGAAAACACCACCCTCCTACCATCGCCCCCTTATATCCATAGACATCTCATTCCCTCCTCCATCCATTTTCTGAACAACGAAGGAAGAACCTTGTCTAAAATAATCCCTCTCAATAGACACACACTTTCCGGCACTGCAGATGTCCCCCGCCCGGGGCCCAGTGCCCAGACCGGACACGGGGCAGCATGCAGCTCTCCGCCCCCGCCCTCTTTGGGCTCCACTCGGAGGAGCAGATCCCCCTCCCGCACCCGCCTTGCAGCACCACGTAGCCTGCGAAGCGGACGTGCCGTCAGCAGCATGGGCGGGACTTCCGGCGCGCCGCGGTCACGTGAGGCTCGCTCCGGAAGCGCGCTTCCAGTCGCCCCAGCGAAAGCCCCCCCTCCCACTTCCCCTCTATCTGTCCCACGAAAAGTAGGCAATTGCTTGCCCACCGCCCGGGATCGTCAAGCTGCGCGCCCACGAGGTGACTTCGGGGGCGGCTGGGTTTCCTTGGGGAGCGAGGGAGGAGCCCACCCTGGGCTTGGCTTCCCTTGTTGCGGGAAGAGCCGAGGTCTTGGCTGTCACGTTGTCATCGTAATTGTCATCTCTCGGCACAAGGTGGGGCCCGCGGCCCCTGAGATTCCTAAATCATTGCAGGTTAATTTGGGGAGGGGACTAGTTCCGGAGGCTCTCAAGTCTGCTATACTTCCTAATCACTGGACTACTCAAGAATTCTGATACTCGGGCCCCCATTCTAGACCAATTAAATCTGAATTTTAGAAGTGGGGCCCAGCCATCGGTATTTTTTTAAGTGCCCCAGGTGATTCTGATGTACCGAGAACCACCGTGTAAAAACCTGTCCGTGAATTTGGATTTTGCCCATCCAGCATAGTCTCTGAATAAAAGATCGCCCAGGATAACCTCATCCTTAGAGGGTTATCTAGGATATTGGCCCATCTACTCAAAAATTGGGGGTTTCTCTTTTTCCTTGTTCTTTAACTTCTGTAGGAGGTCAGAGGTTTTGGTGGAAACTCTGGTACCTGTGGTCGCTTATGAGTCTTACCTATTGAGGTGGATAATGTCTTCTCCCGCTTTTCCTGATCAGTAATGAGCTAGAGTTGTACCAGTGGCCAACGAAGTGCCTTTTTTAGCTCTGAAGTCCTGAGATTCCCTTAGTACAGATCAGATGGTTCTGAACAACTTTCTATTTTTTTCAGGAATGATTTTTAAACTTGGTTCACAGGCTAGGCGTTTTATTCAGCTGTTGTTCACCTTAAGTCCGAACATTACTTTTAAAGTCTAAAGATTAATAATACAAACAACACTTCTGGGATTATTTACTTCCACGGCTCCCATGAATTGTGGGATGAGAGATACCCTTTAAAAATACCATTTATAGGCCAGGTGCCATGGCTCACACCTGTAATCCTATCACTTTGGGAGTCTGAGGCGGAAAGATTGCTTGAGCCCAGAAGTTCAAGACCAGCCTAAGCAACATAGCAAGATCCCCATCTCTACAAAAAAATTAGCCTGGCTTGGTGGCCCATACCTATAGTCCCAACTACTCAGGAGGCTGAGGCAGGAGAATCGCTTGAGCCCAGGAGTTCAGTGCTGCTGTGAGCTATGATTAAGCCACTATATTCCAGCCTAGGCAACAGAGCGAGGGGGAAAAATTGAACAATTAAGGCTGAAGTGTAAGAGTTTACAAACTAGCTACAGAACTCTTGGAACTACTTCTCTGTGACAGGAGTCAGCCATAGAATAGTTGGACACGTGAAAAAAGAATGTAACTATAGTTGATCAAAGGTCAGATGAATTGAAAATATCCTTAAAAACATAACATATTTAAACATTTCCTTCCTGAGAAGATTTGGCACTTTACAGTTAGTTGAGTTACCAGCTTCTCGGTGATTTGGGGGAGTAGAGTGAGGAGGAGAGAGTATTGCCAGGAAACAAGAGACAAGTTCAACAACAATTTCAACAGCATCCAAGAGCATGAAATATTAGCTATTTTATGCTGGAATAAAAATAGGAAATTTAAAAGGAACAGGTTGTAGAATTCATACCTACAAGTAATTGATTGTGTCCAAATGAATGAGGCATAGTTAGTGCTGTATAAATTCAGGAAAGAGAGAGATTAACATGGAATTACCATGAATATGTTTATAGAAAAAGGAAACTTGAAATAAGACTCCCAAAATGTACTGGTGGTCCTAACCACTTCAAACTAGTCATGAGTTTTGCTGATATGCTCTTAATTTGCAATACCTGCCTGTTCAACCCTTATTCCTTTATGGTCACAGTAGGTTTTGCTGTATGAAGGATATGCTTGCAGTGAAGTGAACTTATCTGTTTCTTCCTTTGAACTGTATTATCATTATGTCATCCTCCATTATCCCATTGCCTGTTGTGTTTATGAGTCAGAGGGTAGCTTTCTTCCTGGCCTCATCTTTCACTTTTGATTCTGATGCTAGTCACATGAGGATTCAGAGAACTTGCAAATAAATCCATTCACAAATCCATCACCCTTGCTGACAAATTAAACAATGTCCTTCTGTGGGTAGAATGTCATTTGTATGAAAAAAGAAAAAGGATTGGTAACTACATTCTTTCAGTCTTACTCCTCCTGCATGCTATGCCTTCTCTGTGACAATAGAAGAGGGTAAATTGGGGTTTGGAGTTGAGGGAATGAAAAGGAAATACAACTCAATTTTTTGGCTCCCTCGCCCATCCATCTTAACTGTGGCTGTTATAGAAGTGGAGGCGCAGGCTTTCTGAACACAGTGGCTTATGCAACTTGTAGCAGGCCTGTGTCTGGCCGAAGGGTGGAGCTTGGACTCCAGCGATTGGAAGAAGGCTATTTGGACTTGAGCCACCTTTGATGTCCCAGTCACTAAGCAGGGACCATGCAAAACCACAGGAGGGAGCCGATGAGGACATCAAGCTAGATGAGCTTGCCAGCCTCAGCAACCAGCCAGGAAGAGGGGCAGGAAGCAATGTGCTGAAAAAAGAAAGAAAAAAAAAGATTTTATTATTTATCTTAGTTGAGGAAGTTCTTACTGGTGTGTGTATTATTGGAAGACTCAATTTTTGTAATTCAGATTTCTCACCACATTTTCATTCATTTTGCTAACCCCCTTTCCTATACTTTGAAACAGTATGTACTAAAGGCCTAATTAGATCCCCGAAATTATCTGATCTTCTCAGAGAACCAAATCAGTGGGGGCCTTATAGGAAAGATTCCACTTTCAGGGCTTTTGGCCAGAGTTACTTATTTAATGATTGGACTTTTCATCTATTTCTATGCAAAAATCAAAGCAGATGAGTTTTCATGTATTTAATTTTTAGAATTCTGGTAGGGAAGAAAGATAGGAAAATCTAATTACAGAGCCTGCATTATAGTTTTTAGGAGAATTTGTGTTTTTATTTACCTGGTTGCTATGAGATGTCCTAGATCTTATATTTATAAAAATATAAATATGCAATAATATGTATGATGTTACTACCACTCAAAGCCACATTACTTATTTGTGCGATTTTTGGTAACTTGATGGAAATAATCACATTTTATCCATTGCAAACTACAAAGTTTTTATCTGTTCTTTATATATATATATATATATATATATATACACATTAAAAATGTATCTTTCAAGGTATATTTTTATACCTTGCACTGAATAGTAAATACAAATTTTTAAGGGAGGCTATATGGGAAAATATATTGTTCAAGACTCAGAGTCTCTGTCTTGCCTCCAGGCCTCATCAGTGTTTAGTGAATGACCTCAGCCCTGTTTTCTTCCTTCCTTTGGCGGTTGAGGACAATGAATGGGCTCTGTACTCGCCTGGGCTCAGCTGGGTGGTGACCGTTATGCCATTGTGCTCACTGGGGAGGGCTGCCGGGTGTGTAGAGCTGTGGATCCCAGCTTCCCCTGACATTGCCAATCTCTTTTCTTTCAGCTCTGCCAGCCCGTTAGGAGTTGCTCTTCAGTGCACGATGGCTTGTGCCTTAAAAGAGCAGGAGACACTCCCATGGGAGGTGGGAAATTAAAGACCATTGAGAGGGCATTTAAATCAGCTGCAACCATAAGCTTGCTTTTCTTGAAGAGGTGTTAGTATCTGAAAGTGTTGCTAGAATATCCAGATTTATTTTAATGTTGGCTTTTCAGAAACCCTGGCAGACCCTTAAGCTCTCTGCGTAGAGAAAGTAACCAGCTTTAAAAAGTTAACAGGACCCATTTTTAGAGGAGGCTCTCTTCTTCCTCGGCAGCTGAAATTAACTGATTGCTTAGCAGGGAAAAATATGTATTCCTTCCAGGAAATAGATATTCAGAACTCTGTCCTGCTTTCAGAAATCTTGGTCCTGCATGTGCTTTCTAAGCCCTGTTGATTGATACTGTTTTGCAGAAATTTTGTTCATGTTTGTTTGTTTGTTTGTTTATGGCTTTAATTAAGTCTTTAAATGTCTATGAGAAATTTCCTTATTCGGTCATGGAGACTATTTTTTCCCCATATATTAGGAACTGGTCATTAAGATTACGGTTGGTCATAACCACAGTTTTCTTGCTTCGACCAGTCTTACTCCAGGCATAATAATTTATGAAACATGTAAGAAATCAGAAGTTCCTCCACTAATTTCCAAGTGAGAAGTGAGGAATAATTAGGGTGCTCAATGTATTGAAGGCAGAGTCTATATACCCTAAAAAGGTGTTAATACAAAACAGGAGTGAGGGGAAAAATCAGCCCACAGCTTGTTTTTTGTACTTACGGGGAGCTAAGAATTGTTTTTACATTTTTAAAGCGTTGTTTGGTGTGTTTTGGGGTTGTTTTTTTTTTTTTAAGAAAGAAAAAATATGAAGACTTTGTGACAAAGACTGTATATAGCCCACAAGCCTAAAGTATTTCCTATCTGACCCTTCACTAAAAAAAATTGCTGACATAAAATAACAAGAGTAATACTGAAAATGCCAAACTAAAAATAATTATAAAGCTCCATGCAGGTTCCTATTCCTTTAGACGTGTTTTTCTATACCTTATCTTATTTGATTTTTGAGAGATTAATTTGTAATTATTCAAATAAGTTGTTTCGATTAATTAATTTGAATATCTATAGGATTTTAGGAATTTTAAAAATACTTAAAATGTAAAAGGATATTACAAATAGGTTTTGGAATTTGGGGAGAGAAAATAAGAAAGCCACGGATGAAATAAGCGTTTTCTATGTACAGCCCCAGGTCTCTAAACTTGCTGGAAGATGGCAACAAATTTGATTATAAGTATCCAAGTGGCCAAAACTATGAGGAAAGCATAATTGAAACAAAAGAAAATTGGTTACAAAGTTGCCTGGATGCCATCAGTAACATAAATTCATCTTTCCTTAATGGCCTGAGTCTTAGAAAGGGTCTAGCACTTTAGATGATTAGTTAATGTATTTTATAGATGGTGGGCACCCTAGGCTGAATCTGAACTGACTCTGGTTCAGAAGCTGGAACTGGCTTTTTTCTGTCGTCTCAGCTGGTTCTCCTGGCTTCTTTCTTGCAAAAGTATCCAGGGGGTGCCTGGGTGATCTCAGAAAATGTAACATGGCGGCTCTTCTACCAAACTATTTGTTGGATCAAAGTCATAAGCAACCTCTTCTCAAATTAACACTCCTCCCTCTTTTTAATCACAGCCATTGACATTTGAGCAGCCTGGAGGACATCATGGATTATCCTTGAACCTCTTGAATGGCAGTCTATTTTATCATGCATGCCTAAACTTCTAGCCCTGCAAAATGGGGCATCTCTTAGCCACTTGAAAATCATGGATTTTCAGAATATTGGTGCTGCAACCTTTAATGCTAGGCTGGATTTTTCCCATTATAAGTGAAAACAGGATTTAGTCTACAGTAGTGTTTAATCACAATGGTTTTTATTACATATTTGAAGCTGTCAGACTTCCCAATTGGGGATAATTGATATTTACATTGACCTGGTTCTAAGTATGCCTTATGAGGCATAGAGAGCAGTCTGGATCCAAAACTGTTAATTTCCAGAAGTCACAGATGTTTCCTAGACTTTTCTAATTTAATTTATTTGCTGCTCGTTAATCTATAAAAACAAATTTGATTACGACACACATGGAGTTCACTTTAATGTCATTAAGTGCTGTAGGCTTTCAGAAAGCTATTCATATTTCAGTGATAGAAATATGAAACCTGGTTCTAGTGAACTAGCCACTTAAAGGCTGCATCGTACAGTTTAGCACTCAAGTATGTACTGATTTCTACCATAATTTCATTTGAGTAAATCTCAGTAGAGCAATGCTGTTGGGCAAAGGCAATCTATGTGGTATCTTTGTGGAAAAGTCTTCATGGAACAGTTTCTCCTCCTGCAAAGGGGCAAGGTGGTTAGGTATGGAGAGTGTGGCGTCACACACTGCCTGAGAGATGTGTACTGCAATCAAAAGCAAAACAAGGCCCATTAGGGGGACTTAAAGGCTAGGGAACAACTGAGGCTGAAGAGATGTCTTATTTAAAGAGGTTTCTCCAAGTCCCAAAGCTAAGGCAAGACCCAGCAGAGATTTCTGGCCAGTTGGAAAGATGTATTGTACTCAACCCTCAGGAAAATCTAGGTTTAATTTGAATAAGCATCGGCATGGGTTAAGAATTAGTAAATAAAGTAATAGTTGTACATTTTTAGTTCATTTTCTGTATATTATTTTGTGTATACATGCCAAATATACGGTCATTTTCATAGACTTCACTTTCAATAGGGAAACAAGTAATTGAATGCAAAACCATGCAGGGGCCTTTGACCCACTTAATCATACCTAAGGGGATCCCTTCTTTTCACACTGTAAGGTCATGACCCAGGTGCCAGAGTCTTGTAGATATGTTGCATGAAGATCAGGCATGGTACTAGGAAGAGGCAACCTCCCAGGAGCTGCTTCACAAACCACAAAATAGTCACAAATACCACATGGCTATACTGATCAGATGTTCATACTGTGGTGGTTCTTTCCTAGTGTCAAGTGCCCATTTGGACTTCTACAATCAGAGATGGCAGCAAAGGTAAGTTGTTTGTTTTTTGTTGTTGTTGTTGTTTTTAACTCCTAAGGAAAAAAGATAAACTTTAGGCTTTAAAGTCTTGGCATTCTCATTCCATGAGGGAGAAGACTGAAGAAATAAGTCAGAAAAGTAAAACTAAAAGCACTATTAAGTATGTTCCTAGACATCACTTGTCCCAGGCATTGAGAAGTGGTCCAGGCCAGCAGGTTAGTTTAGGGAGCAGAAGGGGAGGAACCAAAGTCTGTCATGCTTATCAGTCTGCATGGTTCTTAGCAGGCTATTTCTCACTTCGAACTAGTTTAACAGTGTGTAGAGAGGGACAAGATGATGAGCTTTGGGTCCTTATCTCTCCCTGTATCTTCTCTAAGAGTGATCATTAACCTCTGTCCCCACATTGTAATCATCCTCCATTGCCTTAAACTAATTGTCCTGCAAAGAGCAAGTATGCATAGACTTAGTGCCCATTGTGGACACAGACATGTCTTACACCCTTTTTTGGGCCCAGTAGCATCCTCATGTAGAATAGGTGTTCCACAGATACTCAGTAATTTCCTGTTAGCTAGTTGACCAAACATTTGAAGATTTCTCTTGGGATGAACTGTTTGGTGTCTACCCTCCACATCCTTTCATTTTGTAGGAATCAACATCGAAAGCTACTGAGTGTTGGTATTCCCACCCAGTGTATGCAAGATACTGGCAACATTATTATCAAGCAATGGCTTGGATGCGATGCCACCAGAACGCCTACAGGAAGGCCATGGAATCCTATTTCAGTGTTTCATGGTATCTCCCTCCTGCAGTTCTTCCCCAAAGCTCTTACAGTAATGAGGCTGGATATCCTCAGACCTTCTGTGACCATCATATGGCCTGGCAGGACTCCCACTCCAGTTCTTCACGTTTTGGAAGGTCTGGGCAGCAGCCACAAAACAGCAGTAGGATCCAGCCATCCTCAAGAGAAGACCAAGCTTCGTCCGAAGATGAGGAGACAGAGACCGAATCAGATGGGGAGGTAGAATGCGACCTGAGCAATATGGAAATCACCGAGGAGCTCCGCCAATACTTTGCAGAGACTGAGAGGCACAGAGAAGAGCGACGTAAGTTCAGGCCTCTGTCTATTCATGCTTCCTGTTTCTTCGCCCTGACTTTTGCATTTTTTTTCTTCCCTATTATACAAAGTTATTTTATAACTCTTCATTTGGGTCCAGGTAATATTCTAAATCCAGTCTTAAGCCTGGAAAAATTATGGTGACGTTGCACCTCAATTATAGTAATGTATTAGTGCATTAATGTTGCTATAAAGGAATACCTGAGGTTGGGTAATTTATAAAGAAAAGAGGTTTATTTGGCTCACAGTTCTGCAGGCTATACAAGAAGCATGGCACCAGCATCTGCTTCTGGTGGGGGCTTCAGGCTGCTTCCACTCATGGTAGAAGGCTAAGGGGAACCTGCATATGCAGAGATCACATGGCTAGAGAAGGAGCAAGAGAGAGAGGAGGGAGGTGCCAGGCTCCTTAACAAGCAGCTTTCAGGGAAATTAATAGAGGGAGAACTTACTCATAGCCATGGGAATGGCACCAAACCATTAGGGATCTGCCCTCCCTTGATCCAAACATCTCCCACCAGGCCCTACTTTCAACATTTTTGATCAAATTTCAACGTGAAACAAACCATAGCAATTAGTTTCCAGAGCTGTTTTAGTATAGGATGTATTTTTAGTTCCAGAACAAAACTTATCCTAATAGTATTTCTACTATTTATTGAATGTTAGACATTCTATCACATGGAGCACGTATGTGTGTGTGTGTGTGTGTGTGTGTGTATGTATGTTTCCTAATCTACACAACAGTCCCTCAAGGTATTAAACCTGTTTTACAAGTAAGGAAAGTGAACTTTAAGAAAGTTAATTGACTGGTTCCAGGGTCCACAACTAGTAATTTGCAGTCAGGATTGAAACCAATTCTACCTGACTGCACTTCTGTTCTTCTCCCTCTATACCAACACTTGTCCCTGAGACTGCTAGGTTCCTAAAATACTCTTGCCATTTATCTGGGATGTGGCTTGGAGATGTTTCTGGTGCTACAGAGCTCCCAAATCTTAAATAGCTCCCTTCAGAGTAGAGATCAGTGTGAACCTAAACCCAGCAGTGAAATGCCCAGCACTTACAACTTTCCTGTTTGATTCTGCATCAAGGCTCTTTCCCTGGGGTTAGAGAATCATGATAAAGGTCTTATATCTTCAGTCAGAAAGCAGGAATTTTCTTTTATAAATTTCTTACTACCTTGCTACAAAAAACTGCTTTTTGTGCTCTCCTTACTATTAAAATTCGCCAGACCATTTCTATTTTAAGTACTTCTGACAGATATACAAATGCTTTTCTCTCTCTTTTGTAGCCAGTATTCAGTCTCAATATTTTTTTTTTAGTGTACTCTAATTCTGTGACATTTCACCTAGAATTTTCTAATAACAAGGAAACATAGAAGCCTGAGAATGGGAGTTGCCTTTCCATCTTAAGTTGTCTATGTTGTCCTAATGATGGGCTAGCATTTATTGATCTCCACTGGATGCCGGGAGCTGAGCAATGGGCATATAGTGTCATGTCCTTTATTATCTTTGCCTGTGATTCTCCACTAAACTATTCGTTCAGGTTTTTTGACTTCCCTTCTTTTGATTAAACTATTGACTTTTTTGATGCATATTAGAAAGTATATCCAAACAGGTAGTTTTTAAAACAGTACTTTCTAGTACACGTAGAATACCTTAGAATACCTTTCCTTGATCTCCAGAAATAACTTTTACTGTTTTTCACAATATATAAAAGAAATAGCTATTAGTCTAATTTAAAAGTATACGAGGTCTGTCCAGAAAGTATCCAGCCACCGTTAATATAATGAGAATGATTTGTGCAACATCAATGTATCCTGGCAGCCAAGGAGAGTGGACTGGGATGTATTTGTGTGAACAATGATGACTTCACTGTACTGGTCAGTGGGGTGCTCGATGCCACTGAGAGAGCACGTGTACTGTGTGGCCATACCATTCAAAAAGACTGAGTGAGTAGAGCAGTGAATCTGCATCACATTTTGTGTTAAGCTTGAACATTCCTCTGCAGAAACTATTCGGATGATTCAGAAGGCTTTTGGGGATGATGCAATGAGTGCAACACAAATAAAAGTGTGGTACAAATGCTGCAAAGATGGTCAAGAATCTGTCGAAAGTGATCTACGTTCTGGAAGGCCTGCAATAAGCAGAATATCTGAGAATGTTGCATGTGTACGGGCTGCAATCAACAAAGACCAGCGACTGACAGTGTGAGAACTAGAAGCTGATCTGGGGATTCCAAAAACTGCTGTGTCCAAGATTTTGATGCAGGATCTTGGCATGAAATGTGTTGTGGCAAAATGCACTCCACAGCTTCTGCTACCAGAGCAGAAGGAATATCATGCTGCAGTTGCTAACGACTTGCTTCAAACTGTTACCAATGAACCAGATTTCCTCAAGAAGTTTCCTCATAACCAGAGTTGAATCGTAGGTCTACAGCCATGATCCAGAAATGAAGGCCCAGTCGTCCCAGTGGAAATTGCCTGGTTCTCCACACCTGAAGAAGGCATAGCAAAGTCGCAGCAAGATCAAGACCATGTTAACTATGTTTTTTGATTGGGAAGGTATTGTCCATCATGAGTATACTCCTCCAGGCCAAACAATAAGGAGTACTACCTCAGTGTTCTTCATAGGTTGAGAGAGACAATGTGACAAAAAGGGCCACAGCTATGGGCAACTGGTGATTGACAGCTTCTTCGTGACAACATGCCCGCCCATGCATCATGTCTTGTGCAGAGCTTTTTAGCAAAACATCAAATCAGCCAGGTGACTCAGACCCCCTACAGCCCAAATTTGGTGCCCTGCAACTTCTGGATTTTCCCAAAACTAAAATCACCTTTGAAAGGGAAGAGATTTCAGACCATCGATAAGATTCAGGAAAATAGGATGAGACAGCTGATGGAGATGCCAACACAGGATTTTGCAGACTGTTTTGAACAGTGGAAGAGACACTAGGAGAACTGTGTGAGGTCCCCAAGTGCCTACTTTGAAGGGGACTGAGGTATCATTGTCCTATATACAATATTTCTTGTATCTTGCATCTTCTTCAATAAGTGTCTCTTACTTTTCATATTACATGCCTGGGTACTTTCCAGACAGACCTCATACAACAAATGAAGGAGAGTAGGCTTTGGAGCATGTCAACATTTGGTTGGAATGCTGTTTGTTACAGCTTTCGAAAAAGAAAATTTGATGGAGATAGGGTTTATTCCTGTCATTCTTACCAGAAGGTAGAGTGACATGTTTTTTCCACCAAACGTTGATACTTTTATGATGGAAGTTGTCATTAAGAGTGGCAGCAAACCCCGGTCATCTAAGAGACCATTTTGAATTATCTGTTGATTTAAAATAATCCTGAGTTACTGACAAAAAAGGGATATGAATGAAATGAAAATAAAATAATGAAATGTGTCCTTGCCACCAAAGAAAAAAGTGTAAGCAGCACCATTACAGATATGACTAACAACCATCCCTGTTCCTTCCTCTTGCCATTGCCAGGTGGAATTCTGGTAGGTAAACAAGGTCATGGAAATTACCTGCTAAGTCATGCCTGGCTTTGAATGAATAAATGAAGTCTATCAGCCTTAAATGGGAGGTTGGCAAATCTTATCCCCTAAAGTGCTACACTTGTGCTGATTCTGTGGGACATTCGACCTCCAGAACTGTGAGACCATAAATTTCTGTTGTTCTAAGCCACCCAGTATATGGTACTGTGTCGTGGCAGCCCTAGGAAACTTAAACAATCACCCCAAGGGAATTTTCTTTGTTCCCAAAAGCAGTCCGTGACTGGGACATAAAGAAAACCACACAGGTCTTGTCATCTCTGCGAAGAAAATGTGTTAAATATTTGTTTTACCAGATCTAAGTAGCAAACCATCACAAAAGGGAATTTTACGAAAATGCTTGCAACCTCCATTTTTAACCTCATTCCTGAATATTGAGATTATTGTTAGCAACAGTATACAGAGGCAGCTGTGCTGGAACTGCTCAAATCACAGGGTTCCAGCCTCACTCCACCACTCACTAGCAGGAAGTTCTTATCCTTTTGCGGGTCCCCTACCTTCACCATTCTGTGCCACAGTCTTCCCACCTGTGAAATGGGGGTTTCTAATTAATGGATGGTAATTATGGATATTAAATGAGATAATGGGAGAAAGGTCATAGAATGGTACTTGATATCGAGTCAGTGCCCAATAAATATCTGTTATTATGTTTAGTTGCTAGTAACTCATCCTTCAGCATGGATTATTAACCATCAGTTGTTTTTACTCTGATACTGTTTGCCTTGATTAGTGCTTGCTTAAGATTCTGTATTTTTTTTAAAAAAAATAAAGATATTCTGTGATTTCAAAAAGGTCAGATATTTCTGTTCTAGGCAGCACTTTTCAAACTTTTAAACTGATTTAGAACATTAAAAACATGAAGGAATTAAAGTTTTGGTGTCCATCAAATGTAGTCATTAACACAGGTTTTTAGTTCTGTTTCAAGGACATTCTTACATGCTAAATGTAGTAAAATACATGGACTTGGAAAATGAACCCACTTCCATATTCCTAATAACAGCACTAAACACAACAAGCTTCTGATTCTTTATGCTTTTAAAATGTGTAGTTACAGCATGGTTCAAAACTGCTTGTCCTAGAGTCTCTGCGATGCTTGCCTTCCCTGAATGCATTAGCAGGTCCCTGCGAGACATGAGCATTGTCTGGTGGGGGCGAGAACAGGCTGGGATTAGATTAGAGTCAGACTCTCATCTATTAAGACTTGGTCTTTATTAGAAGATGCTGCCATTGCCTGATCCTGTACCAATAGAAAATAGTGGGCAGCAGGTCACTGGCAATATTTCTTTCACCAGCACTTTTGGTGGGTACAGGATGAACATGTGTTCCCTCAAGCAGCAATGGATGATGGAGTTCATATGTGCATAATCTGAATGCCCACAGTACTTTCCAATCCATTACCTTCACTAGGAATTTTCATGGAGGGTTAGTTACAC